TTGACCTTGATCATGTACTCACCCAGAGGATGGAGATGAACTCTCCCTTACCAAATGAACTAAGATCAAGGGAAGATGGATCTGGGTACTATATGTAAGGCTAGTGCCTGGACAGGTTAGCAGACAATTCAGCTCTTCTTACCTCTCTCTCTCCACCGTTATTAAAGATTTTATTCTTTTCTAAGAGCTCTAATTTATACCTTTAATACCACCTGCTTCATCTCATGTTTATGTTCATAAGATAGAGAAACTCTTCCATATATGTCCTGATAATTTACAAATGTACAAGGTCACCACTTATTTATATGGCTGCTTATCTGGTGAAAGAAAGAAGAAGAAAGAATTATTAGATAAGGTGAAGGATGCTAACATTTGTTAAATGGAAAAGTAACATTAAATACCCAGAAGCTATTTGATTTCTTAAAAGGGCTCTGTTTACAAGGCCTTCATTTCTTAGTGTTCAATATACACAAGTCAAGAAAGACAGTCCCAAACTTAACTGACATGGATTAAAATTATGTGAACCTTTAAAAAGTCAAAAGTGTCATGCTTTTCTTAAATTATTATTATTAGTTGGTTCCCAGGTCATCAAACTTAGCTTAAAGCCCAGCTCCCTTAGAAAATTATTTTTGTTTCTATGAAAGCAATATACAAAATGAAAACTACCATATGTTGCCATGTATAACGCGTACTTTTTTGCCCAAATTTCTGAGGGAAAAATAAGGATGCACATTATAGATGGATAGTACTAATTCCATATCTATATAAATGTTTTTAATTCTTTTATTTATGCTTATGAATTAAAAGTATAACTCTAGAAAGCAATAGTGATATCTGTTTGCAAAGTAATACCCTGGAATATGATAATAGGTTTTGTTTCTAAATGTAAATAAATAAAAAATTGAATTAAAAAAATTGAAATGAAAGATTTTTTTTTTCCTGAAAGTTTGGGCCAAAAATGTGGGTGTACATTATACATGGGAGCATGTTATACATGGCAAAATACAGTAGTTTGTTAACCTAAATAATCTCATTTTCTCTCAGGTTGACTAAAATTGGAGAAAATGTGAATTATGGGATGTTTATACAGAGTTTTAGCTTCAAATGAACCTTAAGTAAAAGTTTGAAATGTTAGGAAGCATAAATGAATTTGTGAAGGAAGCAGCTGTTCTGAAAATTCTCATTTTATCATGTAATAGTTACTTCCATATTTGTCTGCTTGTGTATCTCATGTGGGATTGACTGGTTCCAGAGCAAGTATACCTTTCAAATACAGAACCTTGTTCTCTTCCCATTTCTTAATATTTGATGACTAAATACAGACAATATGAAGCAATGGGGACTTTGAATTGCTGGCAATGCAGGTTCCTCCCAAGGTGCCAGAGGGGCCGTTAGAAATTTGCTTTGCCATGTAACAGATTGCAGAAACCTCTGCCTGTAACAGTGGATACCACCTAAGGTGGCCATAGTTCACTTAAACAATACTAAAGCTGGATTTTCTGCTTCGATCTAAAAATGTAAGGCATAATACTGCATACTGCCACTTGTCCTCTTTGATGTCTGCTATTCTAGACTACAGATGAAAGTACTGGCCTTATTTCATTTAGGAAAAAAGTGTATGACAAACATTACTAATCACTTTGAGGTCATTACAAAAAGGTAGCTGTGGAAGGTGAAGTGTAAACAATTATTTCATAAATAGCTAGAAACTCAAAATAAAATAAATGAGATAAGCCACAAAAATAAAGCTACACATCATGATGGTTTGTAAAGGTATTGCTAATGTGACAGAGTTTTTTGTCAATTGAACTTAAAATTGAAAAGTGTCTCCCCAAGTACAGTCAATGGTATTAGGAGCTTTACTCTCAGAGAAACATAATTGGAATATTATGAGTATAAATAAAACTGTACTAATGATGTTTCAGTTCCATGAATACTTTCTGACTACTATTTCAGTTTTCCTCGTAATTTGATTCTGAGATGTGGGATGCCCTAAACATAGACATATTCTAACTACATTGGAAAGTATAGCCCTTTCTGTAATTTAAATTAATGTGGTTTGTCAGTGACTCTCTTGGGAGTTTGAGTAGTTTAAATGAGTATCTGATCTTTTGGGAAAGTAAACCAAACAAATTTGTAGATACAAACTGGAGATCCATACACTGGATTTATCAAAATGCAGACATCCATGGATAGCCAGCCTACCTGATAACTTTGCACTGCCATATAGGTAAAAGTCAGATTCCAAATTCAGTCTTAAAAGCAGGGTAGAATTAAAAGGTACAATATTTCAGTTTTGTGTTTTGAAGAAATTGAAAGATTTAGAGTATTTGAAGAAAGGTGATAAGCCTGATTGATAATGAACATACAATTTCAATACTTTAAAGATGGTAAATGACTAATTTTTCAAGAAGTTGTAAGTCTCTGCTAGCAAGTAAACTAGCTTATTCCATGCCTTAGTTAATGAATAATTAACAATGACAAATAATTGCAATTAGTTAAAAAAATAAGGAATAAAGGTCAGATACTCATCTAAACCCATTGAAGGGGTAAAAAAAGCAACACCACATGATTTTAAACATTCGAATGGTGATCTTTTAATCTGATTTTTAAATTGGGAATCTAAGACCCTGTGGTTAAATGATTTGTTCAAGATAGTGGTACAGTCAGATTTTATATTCCTCATTTCAGCTCTCATTTCTCTAATTCAATTGACTTGGAAAATCTCTTAGGACTTCTGACTTTCTTAAAACAGAAAATGCATTACACACTCAGATAACTCAGTTGGTAGAACATGAAACTGATGATCTCAGGGCTGCAGGGCCTGTTATTTTTGTGGTAAAGAGAGACAAAGTATGAGTTAGACTGGCTGTGGTAATCAGATTAATTGTTAACAGCCCCAATTAACTGTGGAACTTTGGATATTCTTTCAACATACCTAAACTCCAGTTACCTCTGCTGTGAAGAAACTTTATGCTTACCTACAGTCCCTTCTAGAGTCCAAATTTCATGAGCTTGTGTTAACTTTTCTAGTCCAAAAGTACATTAAGAAAATACACTCAAATCAAGGAACATGTATAAAGGACCCATGGACAAAGCCAAAGTGTGTAAGGATTGAGGGTGGGAGGTGGGGGCGGGTGGGGCAGGGGAAAGTGGTGGCAGGAAAATGGAGACAAATGTATTTCAACAATAAAAATATTAAAAAGAAAAAAGGAAAATACACCCTTAAAATTTAAATCGACTTTGGGGGAAAGAAGACCTTTAATTGTGGCTTACTTTGCTCATTGCTAGAATTTAAAAGGGATTCCTACAGGTTATCAAGTGTTTTGTAACAAATCAACTTTCCTCATGTTGACATGAGATAGAAATTTAATGACAGCTATGCAGGATAAAGAAAAATCTGAAGTTCTCAGGGACTACAGTATGATCCAGTAGTATCATATTGACATAAGACAGAGTGTCAAGAGACCTGGGACTTTGCAATTAACTTTCTGTGGCATTATGCAACATCTGAGCCTTTATCAAATCTCAGGCACCGTTTAAGGTGGTCAAAATGAAAAGATGGTTCTGACCTGGGTTGGGTGTCATCCTGCAAAGCGAAAGGTTGCAGGATTGATGGTTTGATTCCTTGTCAGGGCACATATCTGCAATGCGGATTTGGTCTTGTTGGGGGTGCATGTGGGAGGCAACTAATTGATATTTCTTTCACATCAGTGTTTTTCTCCCTCTCTTTCTCCCTCCCTTCCCCTCTCCTTAAAAATAAGTAAATTAAATCTTTTTGAAAAAATGAAAAGATGAACAAGACATAGTCCTGGGCTTCAAAGAGCTTACCATTTGGTGAAGGAGATAACTGAGTAAACAAATAATTGCAATATAGTTCATTAAGTGCTATGATAGAAGTCAGAGAGCCTAGAACAGTGATTCTCAAACCTGGCTACACTTAAGAATTTCCCAGGAAGCTTTTTAAAAATATAGGTGCTCTCGCTCTATTCCTCAGAGATCATGATTTAAATGATCTGGAGAGAGGTCCACTCAATTGGTATTTTTAAAAGCTTCCAAGAAGATTCTAATACACAGCTTGGGTTGAGAATTACTGGGATAAAAGGTGGGCACCAAACTTAAATAGGCAATGGTCAAGCAGACAAGGGAAAAAGAATCTTCCAGGCAGAGGAGCAGCTTTGTGCATAGGCATGAAGATAATAGTACTCATGGTGCACCAGGGAAACTGCAGATAGTTCTGCAGAGCTCAATGTAGGAAGGATATATAGGGGAAAGGGAATATAGTGAAAGATGAGCCTGGAGGTGTAGGCAGGAAGCAAATCATTATTATATGGTCTGGGAATGAATTTGAACTTTACACTAAAGTCAGTGGGAAACCTGTAAGGAAGTGACATGATCTTATTCCTTTTTCAGAAAAGGTAGTTTCAGTGATGCTGTGGAAGGTGGATTAGAGGGACTGGAAGCAAGGAAACCAATTAAGAGGCTGCGGTAATCTAGGCAGGAAAGAGGGCCTGAACTAAAGCAGCAGTGCTAGGAAGGTAGAAGACATTCAAGGAATAGATAACTAGGAGGCAGGATCAACTGGGCAGTTGGATGTGGTTGGTGAGAGAGTAAGAAGAGCCTATGGAGTATAATTTTCTTTATTTTGTGCCTATTTTTATTCATTTGCCAGTGATAGATTTGCCCAGAATTAAACATTTCAGAGACAGAGAGGAGCAGCTTTTTATGGACTTAATATACAATGTGGTTGGAATCTAGTCATTTCAAAATCAAAAGCTATCAAAATAATCAGAGGCTGTTTTACAATCCCAAAATGACTAAATTCCTAATGTGCTTAAGGGTGAGCATCCAATTGGTATTTCCACCAATTTTGGTGGGGAATGAGAGGGAAAACAGTACTAAAACAAAAGTTTGAGAGATTTTAATGAACACAAATGGCTATGCCTAGTCTTTAAATCTGTCCAAGCGAATGGAGTAAAAGCCTTCAATCCTTCAGAGATTCATTCATCTGGCAGTGACCTCAGAAAAAAGAGCCTCCCTCCTACATCGTCAAACTGACTTCCTTTAATTCTTTGTTGTTCTGTGTAGATCTTTGATCCCAGGATTCTCTAAAGCAGGAAGGAAAAAAAAACCAGGGTGAAAGAAAAGGACAGCTAAAACATCAAGTGCCCTGGCACTCACTTTGCAAATCCCTAAAAATATTAAAATAGAATATACATTAACAAATGCATTCCAAAAATCTACAACTTTTCAAGACTTTAAAGTGATTTTGAAAATGAGAGTAGTCCTCACTACATTAGATGCATTTTTTTCCAGTAGTTGCTCTGCTCTTAGCTGTAGTGCCCACAGCACCTTAAAGGAGACACTGGGAAAATGAGAGCTTTCATTGAGAAAAACAAACGAACAAACAAAAAACAAAGAAAACTAGTTTTATTTTGAGTTGCAAGGCTATTAACCTTCATCACTGTATTGTTTCATTGTATGACTGTAGAACTGACTCTGGTATTAGCATTAATATAGATTTTCTAATTGTTTTAGAAAAAAACTTTATCAAACAGTATTTAAAGTTGGAGCGACACACTTTTTTTGTTGAGAGCTCATGTCCCACTTGTCCCAATGAAAAAAAATAATCATTGAATATTACATGCAAACAATTTTATTTGAGAGGCTACAAAGTGTATTTTTAATACAACTCTTAAATGAAGAAATGTGATGTTAATTCATACATATGTGTATATGTATTCACACCCAATAACCGAGATATATATTTCATAAAAATGGCCACCAGTGGATAGTGAAGAACAAACGGAAGATAAAGGTGGGGGTGGGGAGGAGAAAGAGCAGGCAGAGTGAATAACAGGCACAGGCTGAGACAGAGTAGGAGAAGGGAGGCAATAAAATGGGAAGGAAAAAAAGAGGAGAGAGAGAAAATTGTAGGGTGCTAAATAGACTCTGTAATGAATCTGTCCTAGGTTAGTGTTGCCAGACTAAAATATAGGATAACTAGTTGAATTTGGATTTCAACAAACACTAAATAACTCTTAATATTATTGCATCTTATGCAGCATTTGGGACATAGTTATACTAAAGTTTATTATTTATCTATAGTTAAATTTTAACTGGGCATCCACTTTCTATTTGCTAAACATGACAACCCTTTCCTAGACATCCTGCTGCTCTCCCGAGTGTATGATGCAAAAAAATTTAGACTCTATTATCACTCATTGAAATAATTATAATATTAATAATATGAATAAAGGTACAGTTTACTTTTAAAAACTTTTTTCAATTTATATTTTTGAAAGAGGACTTTTATTATCCCCCTGGAATTCTGTGGGGGGGTTTCATATGAAGTGAAAGAATGACTGAGTTTAGAAATTAATTTCATCATCTACTAATACCATAAACCTAATTTTGACATCAAGTTGCCTCAAAACTTACAAAATTCTGTGCTTGAGAACAATACTATTTATCAAGGACCCAGATTTAAGCTAGCTGTGGGTTTCCACCTGTGCCTTTCAGCATTTTAGCTTGACACTACTATTTTCCTTTCAACAGCACATGCTGGAGTGCATTTCAGCCATCAGGAAGAGTAATACTAAAGTGAAGTAAAGGTTAAAGCTGGGAAAATGCCTTGCTTTCAGAACAGAGGGAGTTATAGAATAAATAAGGTCTCAAGGGTATTCATTTCCCACCTCACTGGACTTTCATCTGAATTTGTAAGTGTAGCAAAATATTCATATCCAACCTTTAGCTTCTGAAAAGAGCTCAAGGAAATGCTAAGAGTTAGAGGAGGGGTGGAGGAGAGAAAAGCAAGGTTGTCAGAATCAAATGTCTTATCACTGCTTCTATTATTACTAAAGATAAACTACTTCTTTAAACACCAGTATGAACGACGGGAAATTCAGCTAAATTTAAAGATTGCTTCATGTTCTCTAAGATAGGTGTCCTCTAAGATAGGTGATTGCCAAAGGCCACAAACTGTTCTCTCAACTCTGCTGAAGCCAGGGAAAGGTTGCCATACACTGTGGTTCAAATTGTAATTATACTCTGGTGGGGCAGTAAATCCCATCAAATGTGACCCATTTCTGGAAAGACTAAAAAGAAAGACTTTACCCTAGGCATAAAAATGTTTTTCTTTTCCATAAGACTAGGTGATGCATTATGCCAAACAGATAAGCCTGCAAGGGTAATACTGTACCCTGGACCTCAAGGGAATTTACAAGCAGTGATTGCCTGAAGTGTAGCAAAGTCAGTGTTATTAACACAGGATTGTATGTTGCCAGCCAAATAGGTCACACCCCTGCGAAGCAGCCAACCAGCACACAGGACAGTTGACGTGAGAGTAGGGATTCTCTCTACTTGGAAATGCCTAGAACAGAAGAGCTAGTACCCTGATTTGCTGGAAGGTGTGTCCAAAATTACGTTTCACCCTTCCCTTAAGGAAGATTGTGAAATTAAATTCTTTGAAACTAGAGAAGAAACATTATCCAGGAAAACTGTTAAGTACTGAATGCTGAACCTTCAAAAAATCACCACACCTTGTACAATTACCTGCTTTTTTGCTTTTTTTTTTTTTTTTAAATTTAGTGTCCCAAGCCCAATAGGGATTGTGGGGAAAGTGGGCAGTTGACTGTTTTTTGAAATGGAGGGAGTAGAATAATAGGTAAGGATCGTGAAGCCAAATACCAAGTTTAATATGGTCTACTCAAGGCTGCCAGTAATACATATCAGTGCCACAGAGCATGGCAGAAAACATCAATAGCTTTTTTTTTTCTGTTTTCATTTGATATATAAATGTAGCACATTTTGTCCTAAGGGTAATAGAAGGCCAATCGCTACCAAAGCATTTCCTGAATTACCAGGATTTGTGGACTAGGCGGCTGGACGTGATTGGTGCCACCTACTGGGATAAGTGCAGAATTACAAATCTGTCAACCTGTTGGGGAACCGTTTTATTATTGAACACATCTTAGCAAGTATGATTCTTCATTCGGAAAATTATAAATTAAACAAGTGACAAGTTCCAATTCAAGTCATGGCCTTTAGAAGTGGATGAGTCATGAGAAATCACATACTTTAATACTGCCATTTTATAGCCTATTCTAGAAGATGAGTTTTGTCTATGGAGTCAGAAGCCTGACTTCCTCTGAACTTGTTTCTTGTTCTGTAACTACCCCATGGAGTTGTTGTGAGGGTTAAACAAAGTCATATGTTTTCAACATGCTCTATAATATGTTATGGTTGTTTTAGATAAAGAAAAAAACTGAAGCTAAATGACTTGCCCAAGTTATTTACCTGGTTAGCCTCAGAGTAAGGCCTTTAACTCATACATACAACTCAATCTAGTGCTTTTCTTTTAAATTACTAGTTTCTAAAATTTGATGGTGAGATGATTTTAGGTGGTAACTAAGATAGATCTACAATAGGGGGTGCTAGATGCTTTAAATACTGTAAATCACGGCAGGAAAATTATTACCTTTTCAATTCTCTCAAACTTGTTGACATCAAGGAGTAAGTTTCAGTTTGTGCTGGGTTTCTTTAAAACTCTCTACATCTTGCTAATCTCATTTCCTAATAAAGAAAAAACATACCTCAGGCTTCAACATCTTGTTTGAATATTAAAATTTTGTTTTCTGTATACTTATTATTAAGTTAACTTTCTATTATGAATAACTACACTGGAATTTCATTTAAAACAGTAATATAAATTTTATTTTCAGGTAATTCACTTAAGAAATAAAAAAGTCAATCCAAACAAAAAATATTGAATAAGCAAATCTAAGGTACACAAAAGTTATGAAACATTGAGCACCAGCAAACTACCTCCCTATGATATCACTGTTAATAATAATATTAACATAAAAAAACTGATGTTTCTTTTGTTTACTTTTAAATAATCAAACACTAGGTTATAAATAGGTCAACACAACCAAACTCTGAGACTCAAATTTCAGACCCACTTAGGCTCAAACAAACCTAAATATTTTGTTTACATGTGTATTAGAAAATGAAAGTGACGTATAATCCATGCTCAATGAATGCACAATCAATAAAACACAGGAACAGTGGACCACTCATGCTTGTGGCTACAGTCATTTGCAGTAGCTAAACAGTTTGGTGCCCTATCATTAATTCTCCAGAAGCATAAGAAGAGACAAGAGAAAAGTGTTGATCTGTGAGCTGTGCTAGTTCAAAGTTCAAAGACTCAGTTTTACAAGCAAGCAGGCAAAAAAAAAAAAAAAAAAAAAAATCTGAAATGATCAAGTTAAATGGAATCATTCATTCATTACTAATTTTGGCTTGACTGAATCTGAAACTAAAAGAATTTTGGCCCTTACACTATGGATCCCTGAAGATGACCTTCAACTAATTTTTAAATGAAATAAAACAAGGATTTGTCTTCCTCATAATCCTTCTTTCCTCTAATCATTTTCATTTGTATCTTAATGACTTCTGGCTGTATTCCATGTTCTTATTGGAGAAGAAAACCTCCAACTTTCTGCATCCAATTCTTATCAAAACAACAGTTAAAAGAAAAATACTAATAGAACACTGGCTGAAAGATAGGTAGTCCATCTAGTCTTTTGGATTTTCTAAATTTTACTTATGGAGCATGTACCTGGACTAAATCGTCTTGAGCTGATTCATCAGTTTTTTAAAATTTCAAATTAATAATTTATCAGATGGTGCCAAGTAACAGATAAGAAAAAGCCTAGGAAATTTAGATTCTGAATTCATTTTAGAAATATTGTTGAGGACATTAGCTGATATAATACAGAGAGAATGTCCTGTCCATGTGATAAGGACCTAGAAAGAAATTTCTCTTTGGTCTCAGTCCAATAAAAGCTATGGTTCTCCTGAGCAATTGGTGATTGTTATTTTGTGGACCCCATAAATTCATGTTTCTTTTTCTGGGGGATTCAGAACTAAGTTTGAAGTCTGCCTCTATCAACTATATCTTACTTCCATCATGCATTTTCATGTATTTACCTGGCTTCAAATTATTTTCCCTTTGCATTGATTTATTAACCTGCTTATTTAATCCTATGTGCAATGTGTTATTTTGTAAACTGTTCAAGCCCTTTATGGAATATGATTGAGAAGAAATTAGAAATACACATTACTGATAGTGATAAAAAAAACATTATCATGCCTTAGCCTTGATTTCTCATTCTATGTTTCTTTTTTAAAATATAGCATTCAGATCTGTAGATCCCCCAAAATTTTAGAACTCTTTTTCTCCTGCACCTCAGAAACTATTCCTTTATTCTTGTTTTTATGGCAAACTATATGATTTCCTCTAGTGATGCCATAAATTCTTTTTGGGGAAAATGCTGAAACTCCCAGAGGAATATCAGGGTTGGTGAAACTCAGAGCCACTGTCAGATGTCTATCTCCTTGGCCTTCTGTTCTGAAGTAGCAGAGTCTATGCCAATAAAATTCATGAGATCAAACTACTTTAATTCCTAGGAAAGGGGAAGTGTGGGGAGGAAACTAATATTTTATCAAGTGCCAACTATGTACCAACTATATATGTTACGTATATAATATATTACTTAGTTTTTACAAAAGAAAATTTCATCTACTCCAGAGGAATCCATACCTTGATATGAAACCTTCTGAGTAATAATAATAATAATGATGATAGTGATAACACTGATTATAACACTACTAACATTTATTTAACTTTCTGTGTGCCAGACATTATATTGATCACTTTGCATGTACTGGGACCTCTAATGTAAAACAAACCTCAAACTGTGTACCTTTGAAACTCTACCTACCTTCTTGGGATCCGAGAAGATTAAAAAAATACCTGCTTTGGCTGAAAATTCTGCTGCAAGTACAGTGATAGTATCAGGTCATTGGCCTTCTGGTAGTTCTTCCAGGCTTCAATTCTGAGCTCAATCACTTTTCCATTAAAGTCATTCTACAAGAGAACATTTTTCAAAACTACTCATATACTATTATTGGCTTCTCTAAAACCACTGCAACCTGAATCCTTTTTACTCAGAAGTTTAAAAATGATCCCATCATGCTTAGTTTTTAAAAGTTGAGGAGAAAATATGTGTGATTTTTTTTCCCCATTTCAAATAGAACAAAATCAAGACCGTAAGAAAAAGTGCTATTTGCCCCAAGTTACTCAAGGTGAAACTGAAGACAGCTTTCTCCAGCCATCTGCCCATGTAATATTTCTTTTAGCTGGACAATTGGTAATTGAGATGAAGGGTTTGGGCTTAACATTATGAAACTAAAAGGCTTTACATTGTATGAATGCAATTGTAACCCAAGTCTAGCCTGGGAAGACATTAATACCTGAAGGTTGTCGGCTTGTTCCTGATACCTGACCCATTCTATTTTCTTCTGTTGCTTTTCCTGGTGGAAGAAAGAGCCTCTGGGTGACAAAGTAAATTGAGATCAATAATCAGGTTTCTCAATATGCTGTAAAAACTTCATAGTAAAATTATGGTATCATAGATTCACTGACAAATTGGTTTCAACTGCACAGTCCTATTAATTGACCTCACCTTGCACAATCCACTCTCCAAAAGTTAAAATCTAAATAAATAGGATCGTTTTCTATGGATGAGTTGGCTGAGAGAGGATTATATACAAGCATAATACCTCTAAATAAATGTTCAAAAACAAATTAACAAGTGTTTTGATGTCACATAGCTATTGTGAAGTTGTTGTTGGCACAGCTTCTCTCACTTTGCCCTAGAACTAACATGATTTCCCAGACACTGCAGTATCACTTTGACTCAAGTATAATATCACAAGGGAATCAGATCTATAAATTTTTCCATTGGTTCACGAGCATACTAGAGTTTAGGCATATTACTGCTACATTAAATATATCTAATCCGTCAGGCTTAAAAGCCAATGCCATTCAGAAAGATCATATTACCTTTTTCATCTCCTTCACTTTCTCTATATATGATGTCTCCAATTCATTCTCGGTCTCCCTAGGCAATGAGGGGGTTTGGGGAACCTAGGATGGAAGAAGAGAGCTAAAGGAATAGCAAGTCCCAGGAAACAAATACAATGTCCTAGCAGATGGTAAATCCAGTATCCTAAAGGCCCAAATCCTGCCTATCTGCCTACCCAAAACAGCCCTGATTGTCAACAGACTGTTTCCAGTTTTGTGGCATCAACAATCTTTAAATTCTAATACCATAAAGTGTACTTGCCTTTTCATCCTGCAAGTTTGCTTTGTTTTTCATCTGTGGTGTTTTTTGTTGATCATTGAGTTCTTCTGTGTTGAATGTCTAGAGAGAGACATTTTGGCCAAACTTTAAATTAGCAGGAATTAATAAGGGAAGTGGAAAGCCAATATGGGTCAAGGCTTTTGGTTCCTGCTAGTCAGCAACCACTCAGGGCCCAACGTGAAAAGTGAACTAGCAAAGGAGGTTCAGAATGGAACAAGCTCCTCCATTTGGTCCCTTGAATGTACCTTATAATAATAATAACTATTAACTGAACCCATATTGTATACCTATCACTACTATAAGCTATTTACTTACAGTACTATGTTAAAAATATTCTCATTTAATCTTCACAAGTCTATTTTATTTCCATTTTACAGGTTAGAAAACTGAGACTTGGAGAGGCTAAGTCAGTTGTTTGGGATCACAAAGCTAGGAGAGCAGAGAGCTGGAATTTGAACCAGATTTCTTAGACTCTGAAGCCCATGTTCTTAACCACGAGGCACGCTGCTCTTCTTTCTCCATTTCTCACTGTCTAAAAATATGTGTAGGGAAAGTCAATCACAAGCTAAGTCATATGGCCATCTATTATAAAAAGTCTTTTGGGAGGTATGGAAAAGCTGGATTTTGATAGAGGATTTGTGCTGGCACATTTTCTGTCTCAAGGACTCAGGAACTCAGGAAGTAAAATTTCTGACAATTCATTGAACTGATTTGTAGCTGCCGCTGAGAACTCAGAGCAGATCTCAGTGTAAGATGCAAGACCTGACGGTATCCTGATTATTTGTGGAAAGGTGAGATAAAAAAAAAAAAAAAAGCAGTCAGAAATCACATGACACTCCTGTTTTTATCAGAAGACACAACCTACTCTTCTGTTCTCACAGTCTGAAAAAGCACTCTGATACAAAGGACTAGTGCACAAAGGAATTTCTGCTCCTGCCTGGTTTCCCAGCAAAAAGCCCTACCATTGTTATCTTAAATAATTTTTGAAAAATTATAGAGGAATTAGAATTAGGTATTCATTTATTCACTCACTCATTCATTCAATTTACATTTAGTGATCGTCTACTGTGTTCCAAGCTTTGTACTATGTGCTAGGGATTCAGAGATGGATAACACAATCAAGATATTGGAGCTGCTATTCCAGAGGGGAGCAGGTAGACAAGAAACAAGTAAAATAATAATAATAATAAAATAAAAATAATAATGTTATATTATAAAAAGTGTTATGGAAGACATGAACAGAGTTGTATAGCAGAAAAAAGGGGACAGGGGTTGCTCTATTTTAGAGAGAATGAACAAAGAGGGCCTCCCTGGTGACACTTAAACAGACCTAAGGATAAGAATGAGCCAACCATAAGAAAATACCATTATAGGCCAGGGATAAAGCAAGGACAAAAGCCTTGAGATAGGAAAAGTCTTGGCATGTTTGAGGAACCACAAGGAGGCCAGCATGGGAAGGAAGGACTTCTGTGAGAGGAGACTAGAGAGGTAAGCAAGAGCCAGATTATGCCACATTAAGGAGCATCTGTAAAGGGTTTTCATAAGAAGAATGATATGATGTGATTGTTTTAAAAATATCACTGTGGTTGCTGTGCAAGGGATGAATTGAAATGAGGTGTGAGTAGAAGTAGGGACATGAAAATAGTGGGGACAGGGGCAGGGGAAAGGGAACTTTTTTGCCCTATGGTCTGTAAGGCAATACTTTCCAGAGACCCCTAGAGGCACACCTTGTTCCATAGCATCTCCATTTCCTTCCGAAGCATCTTGTTTTTCCTTTCCTGTTGGAGGGGGAAACCAAGCAAACAGAAATGTGTTTGTCTGTCATTAAAGTGAAATTGGAAGAAATTATTAAGTAATAGGGAAAGAGGAGTACAGGGACATATTCAGTCATGGAAGAAAGCAATAAATGAGCCTAGCCCAGGAACATAAGAGAAGAGTTTGATGATGATGACAACAATAAAAAATAATAACAATTTTGAATAACTTTAATTGTGGTAATTATGGTATGGTATCAATATAAATGAGTTCCTCACACATAAACTTTAAAACATTCTTATCACATGGCAATTTCTTTGGGGCTTAGACCACTAATTTCCAGTTTTTAAGATCCTTTACATTGTTGATTTTTAAATATCTTATAGGACTCTTAAAACAAACTCTTTTATTTTGGTAGGTATTTTCTATTCCTTCTGAAATGTGAAGGATTAATATACTTGTATTCCTTACCCACTAGATGAAAAGTTTTTTCAAGTCAAAGAAATAGAATTTTTGCTAGCTACTAGTCCTTGATTTTCCCAAACATTGTATTTGACTTCCTTTGGATCATCCTGGACTTTGTTAATCAAGGAGGTATAAGTGTTGAATCATGGCATACTAGAGATGAGCACTCTGTCTTTCCTTTCACATCTGATGACAGCAATGGAATTGATCTCTGTTCAGGAAGCCATTCCCTGAAGTGCCCATCAACCTCTTACCAGATTCTGCTTCATCTCCTCAGCTTCCTTAATGAGATCCATGACTGAGGATTCTTCACTTCCCTTCCCTGCCATGATCTGTCTCATGATCTGCAGACTAGAAGGAAGAGAGAGACATCATAAAACATAATACTTCCTAAAGAGTAATATCAATATTTTGCAACCAGTCAGAAAGTACTCTATCATGGAAGTGAGATAGGGGCTGAAACCACAGGAGTTATGGAAGTCCGTCTGGACATAGCAGGCCTTTATAGGTTGGCTCCATTCCCAACTGACATTTGCCTTAGCTGTGTGCCCTATAATGAATTCTGTGCTCTATAATGCTCATCACTTAGATCTTCAACAGCCAGTGATACTCCTCTCCATCCTGTCAGAAGAATGTTTTGGTGTGTGACTTTTGGAGTATAATGGGGCACTTTTGCCCCTGTGAAGAATGAGGTCAGTCAAAGAACACGTTGTCTTCAGGATAAATCCCAGAATTACTCCCTAACTTGTATCCGTCTATCTCTCCCATCTTGCTTCTCCACATAAAGACATTTGAGTTAGTTGGGGAAACCACTTATAGCCTTACGGTAGCCCCCAGAGAATCAAGCCATCAAGAAGTTTCTAACAAAATCTGAATTAATAGCAAGTCTTTGACATCCTTTAATGGCATTAGTAATGTTTATATTCATTATCCTTTTATTCTCTCCAATTATAAGCAGAAAAGCAAGACTTTGTGTTCTCTTGGCCTGAGGGAAGCCTGAGTTTCTGGATTTGCTTGACACAACTTTCTGCCCGGCATTTGTTTTCCAAAAATCTGAGCTCCCTGAGATGTTTATGGTAAGGGTAGAGAATGAAGGTAGTAGACCTATTAAGGGGAGATTGCCCAAGACTAGAAAGGAAACAGAAAGTTGACGGGTCCCAAGAACATGAGTATCTTAGTGAAGTGTTAGGACCTCAGCTGTCTACTATGCTTAGAGAAGCCAGACCCTAGGTTTAGAAAAGATTGCCATTCCACTGGCATGGAACGAGCAGAGTCATCTATTCTAAAGTGATTCCACAAACATGAATAAGGAGCTACCAGTGTGACCATGATGATCTGAAGATATTAAAGCCTCTTACCTGTTTCTTAGGTAGATACCCTATTGAAAAAGAGTAATAACTGTAATCCTGTGAGATGAGGGCTGAGTCATATTTAATTTTACTAAAAGAAAATAAAGGACTCCTTGCAATTCCGATTTTATGATTACAAACTCTATAGGTGAATTTCTAAACCTTTTTTAAAAATGTAAATAATCATTGCTAATACTATGGATTTAAGTTCTCCAGGCTTTCTCCCTTTAGGAATTTCTCAGTAGGGAGCCATTACCTTCTTTGTTTTTCCTCCAAGTTAGACATTAACTTCTGGAATAAGAGGTTGTTCTTATTTTCAAGAGGTTTTAGCATCTCTAACAGTTCCAGCTTTCTTAGTTTTAAGTCCTCATTCAATTCCTTCAAGTAGTTGTAATCTATTTTGGAACTTCTGTGGGAAGAGACACCATAATATCTGCCCTTAGTCTCCGTTAATAGAGATCCTGTTTTCCTTCTTGGATAGTTACTACTTAGCATCTTCTGTCAGAGACTCACCTTGTTTTGGAGGGCAAGTGAGAACCTGGAGAATTTGAACTGCTTGTCATCTTGAAGGGAAATGTCTACTTTTAATATAAAGAGGTCTTCTCAAAAATGTGTGCCTTTTTGTTCCATTCAGTTGTCATCATTTTTGTGCTTATGTTCTTGAAACTCCTGTTGCATTGGACTGATTTTAACTGCAGCTTGAGGTCACAATAGTCCTACAACCACAGAATCATCAGGTCTTTCAAGTACCTCCAACATCAGTGACAATGTTTTGAATAAAAATACTATTAACTACATCTGATAAGTTCTCACCTTAGCTTTAACCAATGCCAAAAGTTTTATTCTGAAATATTTGATTGAATAGTATGGAATCACAAGATAACTATATTATGGAATTCCTATTATGGTGGAAAATGGTGGCCTATCAAAACTAACTCATCAACTCCATCTTCTAGGGCAAGTAACCTCCATGGAATGCCTACTCTCTGTAGGGCACAGTGCTGGATTCTTTGAGTGAAGAAAAGATAAAGACAAAGCATCTACCTACCTTCTGGGGGTCTTAGGAGGAGGGAAGGATACCTGTAAGAGATATTTTTAAAAAATAGAAGCCAAACTGACAAATAGAAGGTATAGTTATAATATTGTGTAATGTTATATATATGGCAAATAACACTGTTTTCCTATTTTTAAAAGTTGATATATCACAGTGGGAATGTAGACTGATATTGGACATGTAGCAAGAGGACACAATTGTGAAAGATCCGTACTGTCAGTATGTCCTATAGCCAGGCTTTTCCTTGAGAGGCTATAATTCTAGACTTACCTGAAGATTCTGATTCTGCCTTCACTTTCTTCTCCTTATTAGAACCACATTTCTCCTAGACCCTAAGATTTCCTGTTTTCATCTATATCACTTAATGAGCAGAAAATAACCCAAAGAGTTATACATTTGTTTCTTCATGCCCTTTAAACACAGTTTTAGGGGAGTAATTTTAGTGATGTTCTCAAATGTTAACCAAGTCATGTTAATCTCAAGTATTAACTATTTCCAAGTATTTTCTAGGGGCAGTTTCCAAATTAACTTAAACCCTCTCTCTGTTAGGAAACCTTAAAGGAAGAGTATTGCAGGAGAAATAACACAAGACTTAGTTTGTCAGATTTTGGTTTGAATCTCATCTTCACTTTAGGCTATGAGCTATAAGTTACTAAATTTTCTGAGCTTCAGTTACTCCTTTAGTAAAAATGAGAATGGTAAAAAAAAAAAGATTTATTATGAGAATGAAATGTAATATCATGTCATGTTCCTAGTTCATGTCATATTTTAGTGTATTTTTGGTTTATTTGGGTATGAGAATTTTTTAATGCCCTAAGTAAGCAGTCAAATACAAAAAAGCTGATTTATATGAAACTAATGAAGCTTCAGCTTTAAGAGCCCTTCATTTTCACAAACCTCTACCAAAGGCCCTTGACCTCATTTTGTATTCATAATTTGGCATTCTTTTTTAGAAAGGGAGAACAACCCAAATTATGGGTCCCACAAAACCTGGACCTGCCCATGATTAGATATGATACATACCTCTTCTAAGTATCTTCTACATCAAAGCCTCTCATTAGACAGTATCTACAAATACTTTTTCTAAAGCATGTATGTGTCACTTGTAAGTTTTGTATGATAGCTAGTGTAATATGACATTAAATTAGAACAGCTGTATCAGGTAAACTATAATATAATTCACCTTGATTGCCCTAAGAGTTCCCATGAAAAGTTTGGGTTAAATGAGGGTGAGCCAACTTCACACAGTTAAAAAAGGGAACTAAGTGGACTAATTATTATTAGTAGTAGCTTTTTGGACTGCAGATGTTGCAGGTGGTAGCAAATAGTAGAGGACAAAAATGGCATTGATCACTAAACATGACCTCTTTAAATTTCATGTTGTGACATTTGGTTGGCAGAATTATGTTAGAATTTTAAAACGTTCAACAGGCAGGCAGCATCCCAACTCACCTTCCTTTCTGTCCTTGCTTGTGAATGATTGAAAGTGGAAGAACACTTGCTATTCTGATGTGCTCTTTGCCAAAGCCAATCAGCTTCTTTTATTTCCCAACATTCCAAGGGCCATTTCTTCAACCTGGAATATGGCTTACAAAAAGAAAATTCATCTTTTGATAATGTATACAGACTTTAAGAACTTGAAACAAAATAAAACAGTATTACAAGGGGATCATTGACACACTGCATTAACTCTGGGACATAGGTAGGAAGGGTGAAGCTCTAGTTGACCATTAGAAGTAGAAAGAAGGGAAGCTGAACACTAATGTTAGGTCATCTGTTAACTGAGGAAGCACAGTAGGAAACTTTGAAAGAGTAATGACCTGCGGTTTGGAATAGCACCTGAGCAGTGGCAAAGGAAGCCAACCAAGCAAGAGTGAAAAGATTGCCAAGTAGTGCTAAAGGTCAAGGTGAGTTTGGGAACTGCAGATTTGTCATGGCATGAATCAGCAGTTATACAATTTCTCCAACAGTGCTTGGCAAACTAGAAGCAGTAGTAGAGAGAACAGATGGTTATTTGATCTGTGACTTGGCAGAACAGATAGGCAGACGTTTAAGAGAGTAAGGGGGTTCAGAGTGCTGGTGAGAGTATCCATCAAAGGACTGGACATTGCATTCAGACTGTGCAGGAAAGAAAAGGAAGGGGTAGCTAAGATGGGAAATTGGAAAGGGAATGAGTTTAAGGAATTTGTGGTGGAAGTACAGGTGGTTATGGCCAGTGAACATCTTAGGAAATAACTTGTGGAATCTCATTTGTTTAGATTAATTGTAGTAGCAATTCATTTTTTTTCTGCAATAAACTTTCTGTTGCTTTCTGTCTCTGCATAATCATCACTGAAATACATGTGGTACCTCAAAATAGGCCTATAACAAGCTATTCACAATGACCTCATCCAACATTATAGCATTTGATTTTAGTATCTTAGGAAAAAGTGTGATTGTTCTATAATTAGAGATCTCAGAGCAATAGCATTTTAATGTCAGCTTTACCAGTAGAAAATCAGATTAGTTTAATTAAGTCATGTTTCCGAGAGTAGAAGCAATTATTTAGAGAGAGAGAGAGAGAGAGAGAGACTTTCTTAGTTTGCCTCTCCCCAACTTTGGTAGTGGCCACAAAAGTACAGAATGAAGACTTTCTGGTCCTTTCTGACCCGGAGCCAGTTCAACCCTTGAGAAGATTATAAGAATTCCACTAACTAAAATAAGATGAGAAGTGCTGGCAAAATCATAATAGTAAAAGTTATAGGCTCTTAAAGTTCATTCACATCTTCTTGTGCTGTTTGTTATGATCATTTTACATCTGTTTCGCCTTAACCCTTGCTATAGCTGTTCCAAGCCAGGCTGCGTCTACGTTTGAAGTGAATCCATGTAGTTAAGAAGATTGAGAGAAATTTTTGTGACTCTGGAACTCTCTGTGTTATTGTTGAGGTCTTTTTGAAAGCAATGCATTCTCTCAACATGTCCAAATACCTAGTGTAATGATCGTCAAACTGAGGTATGTGACCTTTCGCAAAGACTTTTCAAGGAATATGGAAACAAAGGCAGTTTTCAGGGAAACTTTTGCTGGATCCTCAGTTTCCACAAGTACTTTTTGCTAAATGGGTCTGCCTGAAAAAGGCCTTTGGGCTCTTTTCCCATCTACCTTTTCCTAATCACGCTTCTCCCACTTGTTATCTTACTTCAGTGATTTGCTTTGGGGTGTGTGAAGACCTCTAGGGCATGAAACTAACAGCAATTTAAAATGTTGGTGTTGGAGTTAAACCCAGTGATTGCTAAGGACTAGACTACAAATTCTTTTGCATGTTAGGTGGTTTACAATGCTTAGGTTTCAACAAAATTGAAAGGTGACCTAATCAAATTGTCAGCTTAAATTTATTGAAAAAAATATTTTTTTATTTTGATACTAAATTACTATATGTGTTTTGGCTTATAATTCAGAAGGATTTCAAAGATTTGAGTGACACTGCTAATAATAAAATGCCTTCCGTTTCTATTTACTTATTTGTGTAAAAAGTGTTCTCAGTGAATATTGTATGTAAGCAAAAAAAAAATGAGTAAAATTAATGCTGAAGACTGTCTTATTCTAGCAATAAGTAATATTCATTTATGAATACACAAACTAAATGGAGGGGAAAAGCCCACCTATAAAATTAATGGAAACATTTCCAAAAGAATTAGTTATACATAGAAATTATGAAAATACATGTTTTTGTCAATTGTGTACTATTAAAAATTATAATGCTAATGTAATTCTGAAGGAATTTTAACAATTAGAATCTTAAGGTCGCTGAAAAAAATTAAGTTTCTATATATATACACATTTTATAGAGGAAAATGATAAGCTGGATAGCTCAGGAGTTCTGGCCAAGATGGAAGTATAGGTAGATATGCTTTGTTTCCTCACACAACCAAAAGAAGGGTAACAACCAACTTGAAAACAAAAAAACAACCAGAACTGCCAGAAAAGTGAACTGTATGAAGTCTGACAACCAAAGAGTTAAATAGGAAACATTCATCCAGATGGGTAGGAGGGGCAGAGATGGGCAGCCAGGCAGGGAGGAAGTGCATGGCAAGGCAGCAGCTAAGTGGATCAGGCGGTCCCACTTTCTCATGTGGATAAAACAGGAGGAACAACTGAGGAGTGAGATAGACTAGGCAACCCAGGGTTCCAGTGTGGGAAATAAAGCTGCAAAACCTCTGACTATAAAGACCTGTGAAGGTTGCAGTGGCAGGAGAAATTACCACTCTCACAGGAGAGTTCGTTGGAGGGGCTCATGGGGTCCTAGAATATACACAAGCTCACACACCTGAGAATCAGCAGTACGGCAGTGCCTGAAAGGGCACAATTCACTTGTGGGAAGTGGGGGAAGTGACTGAAAGAGGGGCTAGAGCTGAGGAAGTCACATTGTTCCCTCTCTGACCACACTCCCACAAAGAATGCCACAACGCAGCAAAGAGGGTTATCCCCCCCTGGTGAATATGTAAGGCTCCACCCCTTACAATGTAATAGGC